TAATCATGTATTTTTATTATAATATCTTTCACTACATAATAAACATAATAATTTGTCAAATAAAAGTAATCAACAAATTATGTGTTTCAAATCCTAAAAACGCAATATTCTACTAAAAAAATTAATAATCAATTATTACATTAAACTTATCCGAGAAACATAAGAAATAATTCAAATTACCACATTTCAAAACCTAAAAATGCAATATTTGAATGTGATATAAAAAAATTTAAGAATCAATTAGTGCGTTTCTATTCCCAAAAACGCAAAATTTGATTACTCATTTAAAAAAAAAATTACAATGAACAATTATTATATCTAAATTTAAAAAAAAGTAGTAATTGAGATTTAATTTTAAAAAAAATGACAATAAATAATTATTGCGTTTAGTTTCAAAGAAACACAATAATTGATATTAAAGCTATAAAAAAAATGACAATTAACAATTACTATATTTAGTTTCAAAGAAACGCAATAGTTGGGCTTTATCAAATATCCATTCTTTATGTGTTCTTTGATTTTTTACAAGAAATTAAAAATGAAAAGTCAAATTGTAATTATAATATATTACTTATTACTATTAAAATTATGAAAAAAATGTATAAAAAAGGATAAATTATATAAATATACCCTGAGATTTAATATGATTTGAGTTTACCCTCTCAAGTTTAAAAAGTGACACTTAACCACCATGAGCTGTGTATCCGTGACATTTCATTAATTTTTATTAACGCCATTATTGCCTAATCAATAACCCTTAACTCTTTCTCCATTTTTTTTGTTTGCTTTTTTTTTTTTTCAGATTCAAACTTTTCAAAGAAATATTGGGCTAAAAACATGAACTCTTCACAATGTTCAACAAGTGGAGGGATCAAATGTTGAAAAAGTATACTATTATAATATGTGTAGCCAATTGATCTTCTCTATTTTCCTCTTTTTTATCTTTGTTTTAAAAACCTAAAAATTTCTAAAAAATTCAAACCAAAACCCATAGAAAAAGAAAATCATTATTGCTGAATTGTTGTAACTGTTATGTAGATTTGTGGTTGTTTTGTAGATTTACTATGTGTGAGTAATTCATGGTGGATTTGGATTTTGTGAGTTTTTCTAGTAGGTGTTGGGTTTGTTTATGGGTTTCTGAGTTTGTTTATGGTTGTCTCTGGGTTTTTGGTGGCTATCGAATGAAAATTGATTTGTTTATTAGATGCTTGATACAATTCCTAATAGCAAAAATTTCATTCATAGAAGGACATAAAAACTTAAATTTTGCATACAAATAGATAAACAAAAAAATTAAAAGTCTCAACTAAGAATAATCAACACAGCCAAAGAACACCATATATCCAAGAGCAAAATCAAAATTTTGGGTCTTGGTTTAAGATTGTTTTTCTAGATTTGTGAAGAAGAGTTTTTCAATGGTTTTATGTTTAGTTGTTTAGAGAGAGAATTCATATGATTTTAAAGAAAGAAAATGAATTGTAAAGAGAGAAAATGAATTGAAGATGAAAAAAATAAAAAAATGAAAAAAGTAATTGTTTTTAGTAAAAATACAATAAAACAAATCATAGAGTAATTAAATATCACTTTTTAAACCTTAGAGTATATTTATATAATTTACCTAAAAAAAAAAATTTACAATGGACATGATGCAACAGGTAGTACATGATGTTGATCTGCAAAAGCTACCTATAAGATTTGCAATGGACATAACTAGCTGCATTGGTGCAGATGGCCCCACATATTGTGGGGCTTTTGATATCAATTTTATGGCATAGCTCCCAACTTGGTGGCAATGGCTCCTTTTGATGAGGCAGAGCTTTTTCATATGGTTGCCACAACTTCTGCTGTATATGACTATCCCAGCTAAACCCAAGCAAATACTACGTTTCTTGTGTTTTCTTTGATTGAAATGTAGTAAATAATTATGATTATTGTGTTTCAAAGATGTCAAACTCAATATTTGAGTGACAAAAATGCTAAAATTTTAAAAATTATTAAATATTGCATTTCTGTTAAAATAAATATAGTAAATAATAACAACTATTATGTTTTTAAAGTTTATAAACTCAATATTATAATAGGAAAACTTTTTTAAAAAATTAAGTACAAATTAAATACTGCATTTTCTGTTAATATAAACGTAGTAAATAGTAATAAAAATTATTACGATTTAAAACCTACATTTGTAGTATTCTAGTTGGGAAAAAAATTAATAATTAATTAAAAATATTGTAAAAAAAAGGTCATCATAATTACTGCATTTGTTTCCAACAAATGCAATATTTTACATTTGAAAAATAAATTTACCATATGTTGATTTTCAAAAAGATAAAATAAATTAAAAATATTTTTTTATTCAAGTCAAACGTGAAGCAAAAGTAACTTTTTCTTGAAATTTTAAAAAATCATAAGAAAATGTGTTTTTAATTTATGAATTTTGGATATTATTGAGAATCTAAAATTATTCATAAGAATCTGATAACCTAAATCAAACATGAAAATTTAAATACCCAATAATAACATTTTCCAAAAATCTCATATTCCTCCAACCAAATACCTATTTGGGTCTAATTGGATAATTAACTTTGTTAAGATTGAAAAGAGTCATTGAGATAAAATTAATTATTGTAGCAATAAACTTAAAATTAGTGATTGGATATTTATTTAGATACAAAAGTAATGATGTTGGTGAGATAATAATAAAAAATGAGCACTAAAGATTTTCTCTAAAAAATTATTAAAGTGTGTTGATAATTATTTATTTGTTTATTTTAATATTATTTATAACATTTAAATTTTTTTAAATTTTTATTCTCAACCAAAATATTATTCATTAATTTATTATATAATAAAACTTAATTATTTATTTTTTTATTTATTTATTATTTTAAATCAACAAAATTATTTCAATATTTTTAAATAAAAAATCAAAATGAAGACAAGAATAATAAAATGGCATTGATATTTTTAGCCAAACACTATAATTTTAAGGAAAAAAAAAAAAAAGAAAAAACCAATAGCAAAATTGGAAGAGGAAGTGCGGTGGGGATGGATTTAGGTGCAGTGAAATACTAATGGGACGATTGCCCAACTAGTGTTATCCAAACACCGTAATGGTGTGATTGCATAAAAAAAAAAAAATTCAAATCACATTACAACGACTGTTAAGTGGGATTTAACTTATCCTCTATAAACATTTGATTTGTAAAATTTTGAATTTAAAATAAAAAATATGATATTTGAAAAAGTATAATATTTGATATTTTTTTTATTTTCAGGACATTTCGTATTCAGATTTATTTATTTGATTAGAAGAATCTATATATATTAATTTTTGTATAATTATTATAATCTTTTTGACATATATGATGATAATTTTTTATTTTATTTTAATAATAATAAATATTCAAATGATAAATAATGTTTTTAACAATAAAATAAAATAAATATTTTAATTGATTGTTATTTTTATTTATAAAATATTATCAATTGAAGTGTTTCAAAACATTAATGCCTTAATTGATAGAAAATTTTGTTGAAAAAATGATCAATTTAGGCATTTGACATTTTGCAGGCTATAATTGGTTTTTTATTCTATTTATAAAAAGATCATTTAAAAAAATATCTTAAATAATCTTTTTAATTTTTTTATAAAAAGATTTTTAAAACGTTTCTATACAAAAGTTTTAAATGATCTTTTTATAAAAATTTTTAAAGAATCATTTAAGACATTTATGTTAATTTATTTAAGAAAACATATATTTAATTACATTAAACTTATTTTTTTCTTTTTAACTATTTGTTTTTTTAACTTTTACCAATTTAAAATATCTATAGGTATTGTGTCTCTTTTATTAACAAAATAAAAAAAAATCTATTAAACATTTTTTCGGAGCATACCAAACCACTTTTATATAATAAATTATTTAGTATCTAAACTTTTTTAAATTAATTTATTCACCTTATCAATCAACGCCTTAATCTTACATGAAAAATTTTAATCTCATCATATAGTTAGGAATAATTCTATGACAGCTGAAAAGACCCTACAATTTGACAAATTCACTGAGGTTTTACAGAATTTGTGGATCGGTTTCTCAAGCAGTGAATGATTATGTGATCCACCTCTTAGCACTTCTCTTACACCAAAAAAGAAAAATAAAATAAAACTCGATTCCCACCACTGTAAGGAAACTAATTCATGTTGTTGCACTTTGAAAAAAAAAAAAATTATCTAAAATATTTATATGTTTTACACCTTTTGTTTTTAAAGTAAAATTCAAACTTAGAGTTGCATATATATTATATATAATATATATATTCGATTTTCTGGTTTTCATTGTATCAGTTAAAATTATTTTCTTGGGAGTCTCATTAGCTAAAGGCATCTAGATGTATATATATATATATATATATATATATATATATAATATATTTGTGTGGGTGTGTGTGTTTTGGAAATGAAATGAGAAGTCATCACAAAGATGTTCCATTGTCTGGTCTGATTGTCGTCCAATTGAAGTTGGCAAACATGATGTTACTTCTAAATGGAAATATAATACTGACAGTAACATTTTCTTCATCGAAAATCGTTACGCGCTTCATGACTCAATCCAGCTATTTGTGCCAGCTTTTTGCTTCCTGTAAATCAACTTCTGACATCGACTCAATCCGGCTGCTTGTGCCAGCTTTTCGCTTCCTGAAAATCAACTTCTGGTATCGTCCGAGTTAATTAGCCAACGCATTTTTTTTAATAATACAGGTAGCAATATTTCCACATTTTATCTACAAAATATATTTTCCTTGAACAATTTTAAAATGGTATTTTTTTTCTTTACTTAAATATTAAACTCTTTCCTTTGATATAGCATCAAATAAACAAAACATATATAAATTTTTTAACCTCACTTATAAAATTAAAAAATTACTAACTCTTTTTGTTTTACCAAAACAAAAATTGAAAAAAGATGCAGAGCAGTGCTTCACGTACCCACTTGCCAAGTCAAGGCAAATTTGTTACCATACTAAGCTATCATAATTTCCTTCTAGAAACTAATGGACATTAAATTATCAAATTCCGCAATCAGTTTGGTCATCAAACTTTGAATATCTTAGAATAATTATTTTTTTTTCTTTGGCTAAAATACGTACAGTTGACAAATCCTATGATCTCTGTATGTATGGACAAGGATTTTTGTCCAAATGTATCTCATAAATTTATTTTACTTCAAATTATGCCTTGCCACATGAGACTGGACTACATATAATTACTGAATAATGAACATCAGGGCATAATCAGAAACTATGCCTGCAATGGTACTAATGAACGGCGACTTCGACTGCAACTACCATCTCAAACACTAAGCTTGGGGTGGAAATCCGAGCTTATGAATGGTGCTGTAAATTCATCTAGACATGCCATCCTGATTCGTTCAGGTGTTGCAGGATTGTCAAGCGGAAACCACTCGGTATGTCCTGTTTCTGCTCTAGCAGCTATAATGGCATCTTTGATGGCAAAAAGAACTGCTGAAGCCAGAAAAAATGGAGGCTCACCAACAGCTTTAGATGAATGAATGGCTTTTACATTTGGATGACCCTGTCCCATCATCACATAAAAACATATAAACAAAAATTTCACTTAATTTATCTAGAATTGGATGAAAAACTACATCTGAAATCATATAATAAGTAGCAAAGCACTAATTTCAGCTGGAAATGGAATGTGAAATGCCCATCCAACTAACCTAAATAAAACAACAATACTCCTCAGTAAGGACATCGATCAACTTGTTAGACGATTTTAGGGGAACATGGAAGTATTACTAAATGTTGGAACAGAATCATATTATTTTCTCCTTGGCTACTCCTTAATGTTCTATCCTACTTCGAACATCATTGACAGCTATCCAGATCCAACCGGTCATATTCTGTGTCCTACGTTGAAAAAACATTAATTCCTCCTCTATCCCATCAACCTTTACGTTTTGTCTATGATGTTTACGATTATATTAAATCATCTATGTAGTTTTTTATTATTTTATTATCCATATATTATCTAAAAAATAATAAATTTTCTTAAACAAACATGTATTTTGCATCCACAACATTGCTCTTAACAATCTCTAAATTTTTGTGTAAAAAGGAAAATTACCATGCTGTATATAGTTAAACACAGACAACTCTCACTAGTTCTATCATTCCTTTAAACCATTTCTGTGATGACTGGCATCCTTAAAAGAGTAACTTCTCTTACCTCAACTAATTGCCAATTTTACCTTACAGTCCCACAACAATTTAAATTCATCATATACTTGCTCTCTTCTCTGATATCTTACTTCTACTATATGACTATATATCGCAGCAACGATAAGCAACTTACATCACAAGATTAGAGAAAGAATGAAGAGGTTTAGGGAAGGAACAAAATGAACCATAATACCATACCAGTTCATGTTGACATATCCAGTTCATATTGACATATACAGGCAGGGTGACTACTTTAGAAGCTGCTAGTAGCAGCATTACCTTCAATAGAGAAACGCTGAACTTAAACGGGATATCGTTTAGAGAAGGAATTTTGTAACTTCCAGGCCCACATGTATACAAGCAGCCAGGTCGAATCCATTTATGAGCTGCATCTCCCCACTTAAGTTCTTCCAAGGCAACCCAACCCAGACCTTGGATAAATGCTCCTTCAACCTGCAATACAAATTTGTTTAACATACAAAAAACATTAGCTTGTCAATAAGAAAAAGATAGAGACTGGAAATAACCTGTAAATTAAACAAACACTGATGCCCCAAGCAGACTATTCCATTTTTCTTTTCTTACTTTGGTTACGGATTTCATGCTACCAGCTACTATTTGTTTTAGATATTATTATCCTAGAACACTTTTTTTTTGGGGGGGAACACACCTAGAAAACCATGTTTTAGTTAACCTGATTCAGGAGAAACAACATTACTAATTTTCTAATAATGAGAAGCACTATTATCATTGATTCTAAGTTCTATCCATCCCTAAATCACTATTTCTTCTCTTTATACATGTATAAATACAATCATATATACATATATGTATGTATTATATTACTTTTTGAAAATAATTTGTAATATATGACATGAACATTCAGAATCTCTGAACAATTAGATATACAAGAAAAAGCTCGAGTGATGCTCATATTATAGTTCTTTTCCTGCATTTATCAAGGTGAATAAATATTACAACTTGAAAAGTACAATTAAGTTCAAATTATCAGTCTAACTAAAAAGAGATGGGAATACACCTGGCCAACATCAATTGCTGGATTGAGAGAATATCCCAGATCCATGAAAATATTAGCTGTTCTTGTGTGGAAATCTCCAGTCAATGTGTCAATTTCAACTTCAGCAAATGCAGCCCCATAGGTAAAATAATTGAATGGCTTTCCTTTACCGATGCTCCAATCAAAGCCAATATCAGGCGTAATATAAAATCCATGGGCAGAAAGGTCTATTCGCTCCAAGTAACAGGCAGTGGCCAGCTAGGTACAATTAAATGAAAAACAAAACAATATTGTCACAAGCAAAGCTCATAACTGCAGAGGAACCTATCATATTCTTTTAAATATAAAGAACCTAAGTGATGAACAGAGGAAAGTTATCAATCCGTGCAACGGAAAATGTGGCAGTCTTTATAAATTTATTTAAATTAGACATAAGTAACCTGTGCTGTGGTTAGCTCTAAAGTGAAGTATATTAGCGGTTTTTATAAAAAGATCAAACATTTCCCTTTAGCCCAATTTCCTTTCTAGAAATTCACCACCTCAAAATATTGACTTGCATTTCTTTACTAAATAACCAAGTCATCCAACCTCCACTAAGCTCAATTAAATAAACTTTAATTAACTGAAAATAGCATAAATCCCAATACTCCCAACCCTAAAACATAGAAAGTAAACAATAATATACAGAATTACAGAAAATAATACCTCAGCAAAAGAACTAAAATTGCGTTGAGAAGCAATAGGCTCCATCCGTGCCTTTATCTGCTTGCATGCATCCAAAACCGCAGCTGCATACATATCAGAACTAGCAGAAGCTGCCGTTGGAGAAGCATTAGGAACCTGACCAGCAGAAGACAGATGCAATAAGATATATTGGACAATAGTTTATCTCAAAAAGGCTATCAAACATTTACAAGATAGATGACTAACATAAACAGAATCTAACATCATCTAATGATGACCGAACACAATTCTTAACTGAAACAGACATCTTTTATGTATTCCCTGAAGTGATAAAGCAAGCTTTAATTTGCTAGATTAATTTGTAACCCACATCTTAATATATCATTTCATGTTTCAACTATAAAACTGATGACGAAAATATATCTGGCAGTCGATAATGCTGCAAGGACTTAATAATCTATTGGACTGGATCAACAGAAAAATACCCTGAAATGTTTCAAGCAGGGGAAACTAGAAAAATCTCTCTTCACATTGGAGTGCAATTAAAATTTTATCATCAATTTCTAGGTGACACCATTGACCTCTCTTAAAATATATCTGCAATTCTGACTGTCACCAAGACATAATAAGTAGGCATGCTATATAATTGCATTAGATTCAGTCTTAGTAACTTCTTATTACATGGTTCTCTAATCGTCTTGCTGAGGCCAAGGAACCATGAAAGGCTACCACATAGATTAAAAAGCTTGTGAAGACCAGCCAGTGATAATAAGGCAATTTTTCCACCAAATGTCTAGCAAATGGTAAAATTTTCAGAAAATCACCACAGGAAAAGAAGCACCACATTCCAATCTTAGCTTACTACCTTGTCAGTACTTGTCTCTGATATAAAGACAGAACTGAGAGAGATATTGAATGCAGACGCAGCAACTTGAGCAACTTTTGTATGTAAACCTTGCCCCATCTCAACGCCACCATGGGTAACTAAAACAGTTCCATCAGTGTAGACATTAACAAGAGCTCCTGCCTACAGTGATTAAGAATATATTTAAGCAATCAAAATTCTGATCATTGAGATAACAACATGATTCTGAAAGAAATAAATAGTGATAAGAGAAAACTATAATACTTTACATAGCAAACAAATATCTTTTCTCTCATATATTATGTAAATATATAGCTTTTCCCTATTTTGTATATCATTTTCAATTTAAACAGCAAACTATTCTCATCTTGCCAGCAATGGAAATACATGCATGAGTACATCAAAAGAGATGGGAGAAAGATTAAGTCGTACATTGTACATTTACCATATCACTGAAATATCTAAAGTTGAAATCAGGAATTCAGGATACCCAATCATATTTCCATGATATTGCAAGTCTTTAAATTCTACCATTCCATGTAAAATTGAGCAACAACTCAAGAAATTATCAGCAAGAAATAAGAAACTTTGAATTGTTGCAGTGCATATAAAATTCTATTTCCTAGCTACATGTATTAAAGTGGTCAAGAAAATCCCAAGTCATTTAAATTTCAGATAACTTGGGTACATAAATATAACAAGGGCCTTCACCTATTGCCAATTGATGCTTATCCTAAAATTTAATGTGTAGAAAAATAGGAAACTGAGAGTGACTGATTCTTGGGATAATCCATAGCAGCAGTGTTTGAAAGTTAACAAAGTCATTTATCAGCTTGAAGTACTATAAAACCAAAAATTTCATGATTGAAGCATGATTCTGAATAAAGAGAAAGCTAGGAGAAAAGGGGGAGGGGGTGAGAATTATGATGAATCAGGTAGCAGCAGATCCACTCATGATTCATATAACAGGGACTCATACATTGTGCTGTCCAGCATGCATGAATCTATTAGAAGGATATGTGCTCAAGTTACCTGATTCATGAACTTAGTCGTAAAGGATATGCCGAATTTTGTTGGAATCATAGCAACACCACGCTTCTTCCACTGGTTGTGAAGATTAAATTCATTGACTTCTTCTCGAACCTTCAGAAAGTCACAAGCTGATTTCAGCTCATTCCACATCTGAGCCAGTGTACAATATTCCAGTCGTTGACCATAATGCAATATTGATCCTTCACCTTGAAAGTTAATCTCCTGATCCAATTTCCAATAATGAGCAATGACATCATTTTTTAACAAAAACTATTGGGAGCAACAAAGTAACATAAATGTAAAACTTACCCTAATCTCTTCTGGACTCTTTTTAAGTTCCAAAGCAATCCTTTGAATCCAATTCTCAGCTATAAGCATACCTTGAGGACCACCAAACCCACGGAAGGCAGTGTTACTTGGAAAATTAGTGAAACAAACACTTCCAAAAATTCTGACATGTGGTATCTCATAGACATTGTCTGAGTGAAACATAGCACGTTCAACTACAGCAAGAGACAGGTCCAGTGAATTTCCACCGTTATTGTAGATTTGGAGATCCAAAGCCAGCACCTTTCCCTCATCTGTAAATCCGACCTAGATGACATAATTTTATTCTACTGTTATTGTATTCCATCATAAACATGCAAAAAAATGAATGCAACTTATGGAAGTCAGCTAAGTGAAAATTTGATGTTAGGAACAACTGGTAATATATTCAAAGATGCTTAGGCCATAAGGCTTTTTCCTTCCTTTTCTTTTCACCATTAAAAGATATGAACACAAACCAAAAAATAGAAAAATAAATAAATATACCAAACTAATACAATATTGATGTGTTTCCATAGATTGACCCAACAAGTTAATCCACTTAGAGGTCAGTACCTTGTACTTTCCAAGAAAGCTATGGCGCTGCCCCGTTGTCATCATATCTATATCTCTATCTAGTGTTAATTTCACTGGCCTATTCATCAGATAAGATGCGACAGCAGCAGCAGCAGCAAGGAAAGCTGATCTAGTCTCCTTTCCACCAAATCCACCACCAATCCGTTTAGTTTTACAAACTACTTTTGACATTGGAAGACCAAGAACACAAGAAACATATTTCTGGTGCTTCTGAGGGGCCTGCATATAAATTATGATAAAACTACATCATCCCCTCAAAAATAATAAATAGATAAAAATAGAAGACATAAGATAAAGTACATATTCCATAGAGACGCTTGACCAAGCATCCTACTAAATTTTCAGACTATGAACTATAACATTTGTACAGTGAATTTGTTGAATATAGGTATAGAAAGGGCCAATATTAGCAAACATATATTCATTTAATGAACAACGATATTGTCAAAGTAAAATCTAATACACATTGGAAAACCAAATAAGACAAGCACATCAAATGGGAAACAATTACAAGCTTGATATCTAGCCAAAACACACTTAAAATTTAGGACCTGTAACTGCTAAACAGACACACCAAATATTTAAATAACCTGAAGTTAGGATGCGCAAAAAATTAACTCTGAATTAGAATATCTTCCAAAGATCAACTACAGTATTATGGCATTTAGTGAAAGCATGGATCTGAAATATCAAAGTTTTTTCGAAACTCAGAAAGGCTTCTGATGTCACAAGCATTCCTAGATTCTATTGTTTTACACCTTGAATTTGGTGGCCAAAATCATTTTTGAGGAGAATTGGTGGTTTTACGAGTCAGTTGAACCAAAATCACTGGGTCAACAAATGCTGAGCAAAAGGTAATGATCACCGATCGACAATATCCATGCATATAGATTGATGTTAAGTCATGTATAATTGATGCATTGGTTCATAATTTACTATGGCCTAACTACAGTAAATTGGTATATGTTAAGTCATTTGTGAACTTTTCACCTATTTTTCATCCACATTTCCACTACTGTCCTCCACACTTCCAGCTGATACAATTCCCAGTATTTTAATGAAAAATTCAATAGCAGCATATTTCCAATAATTTGAATTGGTAACTATCAGAATGGCAGATTGAATTTTATACACAATTTGAGTCGAGAAAGAAAATCCTTGAGTTTATCATATTTTATCTAATTCAATCAAACCAGGGCTGATGAACAAAAGAAATATATGTAATTAACTTCTAAGTTTAGGTATTCTTACTTGAGTGGATGAAATCATATGAACTTCATTGCCACCGTCCATTGTCCAAACTAAGCTGCTCTGGGGCTCCAAGTAGAAGTGTTCCTGACCACCCACTTGAACTTTTCCCTCTATGATCATGTCACATTGATCAGATTGGAAACAGAGTTCAACATCCCCTTTTCTCAGAATCTTTTGTGAGTTGGGATGAAAACTTTTTGCACTGACTGCATCCTCTATTGACAAGATTGCAGGGAGCTCTTCGTACTCCACATGAACTTTTGCTGCTCCTAGTTTTGCATTTTCATGAGTGTCAGCCACAACAACTCCTATAACCTGTATAAATTATACAAGCAGTTTCATTGCAATGTGTTTACATAACATATCAAGGAATTCATTTGGCTCTCCCTGCATTTGGGATAAGTTGATTATTGGACTTTAGCTAAAAAAGTTATATCAAGATTCCACCAGTAATTGCATGGATGTCACATCTTCTGATGTACCTCTAGTAATGAAAGGTTGAAGTTTGGTTTCAATTCCTTTCTCAAGCACAGAAGAAACCCTCTCTGCTCTCTCAAGTTTTTCCAAGGACTGCCACTAAGAATTGTTTAACAATATATATATATGTGTGCATGTGTGTGTGTATATATGTGTGTGTGCATGTGCGTGTGTGTGCTAGGATTCAAATAGCGGTTTAATAGCGGAATAGCGGCCGCAAAATTACGGTAACGCCACCACCCGCCACCGCTATTGGACGAAATATGGTTGAGAAATTCATTCACAGTTAAAACGGTGCATAACGGCCGCAAAATAATGACGGTAACGGGGAATAATGGCAATAACGGACTGTTATTGCAACTATTCCGTTTTCCTACTCACAGATCAACAGTTCAAGAAAAAAACAAAATTTCAACACTGCAGAATAAAGCAATAAGCCTGCAAAAGTAAAAGCAAAAGCAAAAGCAAAAAATAAAACTCAAAATCTCAGGTCCTCAACATCAAAATCAATCTAAAAACAAGTTAGAAAACAAACAAATTATTTATCAACCATTCAATCAGTACTTCGGCACCCGAATTCAAATCAACCTCAAGTTTTCAATCAACATTCAAGATCAAATAAAGTAAGAAAAGAAAGTTAAATTACCTTTTTCTTTTTGCAAAATTTTTGTAAAATGATGTCTGTTGTGAGAGTTTGAGAGAGACGAACGAGGTATTCTGTAAGTACTAGGCAAGTGATAGTGATGGAGAGATGCAAGAGAAAATGAGAGATTAAAAAAAAAAAAGAGAGAAGATGAAGATTCTCGAAGGCCAAGCTCCAGAAGCACGAAAAAGATGAACAGAAGATAAAAACCTGGGTTCCTGGGTGGGTTTGCTGGGATTAGACAAATTATGGGATATTGGGGCACGTGGGTGGATGGGGGATTGGGTGGGGTGGGATAGAGTGGGGGGTGGGGCCGTTGGGGCAGGGTTGGGGGAAGGGGGGTGGGAGGGATGAATTTTTTATTTAATTTTGTAATTAATTTTTGAAATTTTTTTGCTAAAATTTAATTAGAGGTTTTGAAAATTTATAATTAAAAAAAATTAAGAGATTAATAATTTAATATAAGATATATAGAGATTTTAGATGAAAAATTTTGATAAATTTTTCAGTATAAATTAGATGAAAAATAATTAAAATTAAATATTATATTTTAATTTTATTATATATTAATTTATGATTTTGTATTTGAAATTTACTAATTTTTTTTGTTGTTTTGGTATTTATGTTATTGTCAATTTTTTTGATATTAGATTAATTTTTATTATTTTTGTGTAATTATTAAAAATTTTATTTATTATATAATTATTGAAAATAATTGTGATAAAAAAATTTATATCAATTAGTGTATCAAAAAGATTAAGTTACTTAATTTAGCATTTTATGATCTATTACTTTTCTTAAGATTAAAAACTAAAAATTAAATAAATTTGAAATTATTATATTTTTAAGTTTGTAATTTTATTAAATATAGATGCTTGGTATTTAACATATTATATTTTGTTAATATTTGATTTGTCTAGAATTAATATTGAATATGAACTTGGCCAAGAAAAATTTTGTGGATAAATCAAATATGAATACTTTATTATAATCTAAATAAAATTGTGAATAATTTTTTTAGAAAATAAAAAACATAGTGTCATAAACTATTTTTAAAACCATTGAATAAGAGTTTTTATAACTTTAATTATAATTATTATATTTTATAATAAATTATGCAAAAAAAAAAATCACGACCCCGATGATCACAGTGACCGCAATGATCTCTGTTATATCCGAAAACGCTACAAACACAATGCAACCAAAACGTGACAATGATCGCTATTTAAATCCCTGTGTGTGTGCATGTGCATGAGCATATATATTTATTTATATATATATATATATATATATATTGTATCCAACAAGCGTTTTACCTGCCCCACACAAGTGACAAATTCTGAAGCAAATAGCTCCTCATCCAAGACAACTGGTCCAATTTTATTACTACCAGGAACATCCTTGGCAAAGAAGCTGCCGGCAAATCCAGGTGAAGACTTGGCACCCGAATCATCTATGGATAATATTCGTGCATGAGGCTTTTTGCTCAAAACTAATGCTGCATGCAAACCATTAGGAGGCATCGCTGTGTCGTCAGTATATTCTGCCTCCCCAGTAACCTGGAGTACAGGATACCATGAACAATGTCAAGACTATAATCTTGGAGACAAATCTTGGAGACAAAACTCAAAGAAAGAATAAGCATCAAAAGCACTTAATACATTTTAACAATTGAAGACCAAGTTGGGAGATGTGTAACAGTGGGAAAGAATCAGTTGAGGACTAATGATGAGTCCAAGTGGCCAGAGTACAAAAACAAAGAGCAAAGAAAACAAACAAAAACTTGAAATAGTAAGTGATTATGTAAGCTCTTAATGTATAACAAGAAAAAATTTTCATTCACATGCGTTTAAGCATGCAAGCATTAACGGCAGAGATACACGTGACCAGCAGCAAAACATCAGAAACAAGCATAACTTTAAAAGCACTTAATTTTGAACTCTCCACTTAAAACTGATTTAAAATATCTTTGAAATCACAAAACCAGTACTACGGAGTACAGCTTTGTGAATTTACGTACCTGAAGCTTGGACGATAGATGAACCTCTGGTAAACCTACAGATGTTCCATGTTTCTTGATATCATAGTCCTGACTTGCAACTAGTGGTGGTCGGTGAAATGACTTTATAGCTGACAAATGTGATGATGATAAGCTCTCCTTAATAGATTTCTTTCCCTCAATTTGATGTGAAACCCAAAGGAAAAATTTAAAGAAGAAGCTAAGGGTCAAAGATTTTCGAAATTCCACCATCCCACCAGGAGCATCTTCCTTGAGCTCAATATCAGCTCGTAACACATTCAAAGCACCCTGTAGCACATGCTGATTCCATTTCTTTCCAATTAAAAATTCTTTTGTTTTAATTGCACCTAAAGAGCGAGGTGCTACCCCACCATAAGCGACTGATGCATCTGAAACAACCCACTCTTCACCTATTTCCTCCAAACAGACCCGCATTCCAGCATTGACAATGGCAATATCATCATCTCTTCTATGTGCCTGCTTAAATTCTTTGACATACTCGAAGGGCCTAGTCCAAGGTAAGAAAATTGACAATAATATTTCATCAGCCACCAAATCCACTTTTCGGTAGTCAAGGAAGAAATTTTCTGCCAGAGTAGTTCTAATATTCCCACTGAAATTAATGATTTGAAACTTTGCTCTTGCAGCCATCCAGAGAGGGTTCAAGTCTGAAATTGGACTAGCCGTACATACATTTCCTCCAACAGATGCAACATTTTTTATTTGAGTCCCAGCAAACCACTTCAACTGTTCAATGAAGGCTTTGCATGCAGATGTTTCATGAGCAGGACGTTGAGTGACAACCTCTCTAAATAAATTCAAGAGTTCAGTCAGTCTTACTGCAGCACCTATCTCTATCCCATCTTCCTTAACATTTAACATGTTGAGTTCAGGAACATGTGAAACAGAGATCAAAACTTTATACTGCATTTTCTTCAACCTCATCTCAATACCAACCTCAGTATTACCTATCAACAATTTCGCATTTGGGTATTTCTCCTTCAACTCAAGCACATGTTTAACCGTTAAGGGGCGATGCCATTTAAGCCCTCCCAATCCACTCAAATTTAAAGGAGTTAATTTCCTTAGTAGCAGCTCAGGAGGAAAAATAAGTTCTTTATCTGTATATGTGCTTCCATCTATCTCACTGTAAGAGATAGGTTTATAACTAGCACTACAAATAATTTGGCCATTGGTGTCTATATCATTTACAGTTTTCGATCCACATGAACAGGGCTTACCCGTTGAAGGACAAACAAACTCATCTTCCTGAAGGCTAAGTGAAGATATATCTGCATATAGCACATCACTGGTTTTGGCAAAAACTCGAAATGCATCAACAATTGGTCTGTAACCAGTGCAACGACATAAGTTTCCAGCAAGAGATTCTTCAATTTGCTCTTCTGTAGGAGGTGTTTGACTTGACCGCAACAATGCATACAGTGACATGATAAATCCAGGAGTACAAAATCCACATTGGGAGCCATGAGAACGTGCCAATGATTCCTGCAGAAAAATATGAAAGCCATAAAATATCATGAACACATATAAGGAACAACAACACATAGGAGATGAAAGATGGGAAAAGAATATTAGGAAGCAAAGAGTCAATTTTAAGAGGGAAAAAGAATAAAATAGCTGAACATTTTTTTCTTATTATTGTTGGTTTTTAGAGCATATGTCATTAAGTTCATATCATTTGAACCAAACATACATTCATTCTTCTTATTTATCCCATGAGCTCAACAATATTTTTGTATCATGTCCAAGTTTTAGGAAAAACTGAAATTTAGAAGCATCATGGTCTTGTACTACACCCAATTAGACACCCAATGAGATAGTAAGATTCAAGCTTTATAAATAGCTTATGTATATTGATTTTATGCAACCAGCAATCTTAATTTCAAAAGAAAAGTTCGAGTCACACTCTGAAGAATAATACAGTGTACACCCAAGACAACAGATGAATACGAAATATACTCTCACATTGGTCACAAGCAATCAAAATATCCATTCACTCTGAAAATATAATCTAGGAGCCAATAAAAACAAAAAAGAGTTCCTCAAAGATTTAAGCCAATGGTATACATTAAAAATAACCAAGGAACAATCAAGAGCAAGACCACAGAAGAAGAAACATATGTTACTTGTATGGGATGCAAGCCACGTTTGTGGTTCCCAACTCCTTCCACTGTAATAACATGCATTCCTTCTACTGAATAAAGAGGAGCCAAACATGCATTGACAGCATAATGCCTGAAATAAGTTTTCAAAACATTTATCTATTCAGATTTTGAGATGGTGGAAAGCATTTAATTTATAGGACCATCAAAATATGGAAGAAAGAAGGCAAATAGAAACTCACACGCATTTCCTCAGTTTTCTATCATAATGAGAAATCATCACAGTGCAAGCCCCGCAACCACCTTCACCGCAGCCAAGCTTTGTTCCTGTCAATCCAACACCTTTACCAGCAAAAAGAGCCCACATTAGTTTTTTGCTACTCTACTACTAGGTTATAACACTCGAAGAAAAACACATAAGAAAGAAGAGTAGTGATTAAAAAAATGCAATAAGATAAACCAGAAACTCATAACTGATGTTGAAAGAAGATATCTTTAACATTCTACTCAAGAATTGAGTCCTTGCATGCATTAAATGTTCAATTAAACAGAAAAAGAAAATGAGGAAACCAAATATAAGTGTTTGCCACCAAATAACTTCAGCTTCATGTTGAATCTGGGGATAATGCGAAATTAGGCAAAAAGAAACTTGATGACCTCAACAGAAAGTAACAAGCTCAGCTAACCAATAATTTCTGAAAGCACCTTACATAAAGCCAGCAGTAACCCCTAACAAAAGTTATATCTCAGATGATAAGCTTCAACAAAGAGAAAGAATTATGTAATTTTTAAAATGGATTCCTTAATTAATTTAAGGTTCAAAAGATAAACTCTTTTTAACAATTCGACTAAAAGAACCAAACCTAACATTAGAAATGTGCAAAAGTTAAAATTTAAAAATGAAGAACCGTATAGTTTCAGTTAGAAATATGAATTTCCGCTGATTATCACACCATAACTATGTAGGGGTCCGAACCAAAAGCCCAATTTCATCTAAGAATTGAACCATCCATAATACCTCTGTTATAGCCAAAGCCATGGCTCTATGCTCTACTTCTATGTTAAACCTAGCAACTATTTGCTATTTCTTGCTTTTCGAGGACACCAAATTACTCCCAAGGAAGATAGCATAACCAACGTAGACTTTTTATTTATGGGAGAGCCTGCCCAATCTACATTTGCATAGGCTCAAATACCCCCATCACTAGTAGAACTGTAGACTATCCCCTTTCTAGGATTTCTCAACAAATATCAGAGAATACGCATAGCTGCTCTTCAGGGAGTATCTCTGAGATCTACCACGAATTGACTAACTACACTCGTTGGAAAAGATATATCAGGTCTCGTCATGGTCAGGTAATTCAGTTTTCCAACTAGTCTCCTATAAGGTGTAAGATCATCAAGTAAAGTGCCATCTTCTAGAAAAATCTTGATACCTAGACCAATCAGTGTGTCACTTGACTTGGCATGGAAGAAGCCTGCATCTTTCAAATTATGTAGCACATATTTCGTCTAAGATATAAAGATTCCCTTTTTACACCTTACCACTTCAATGCCAAAAAAATATTTCAATTGACCAAGATCCTTTATCTCAAACTGGGACTTAAGATATATCTTACGTCTATCAATCCCTACACTATCACTGCCAGTGATGATAATTATCTACATACACTCCTAACAATATAAGATTAACACTCATAGATATATAAAATATTGAATGATCCTTCTCACTTTACTGCATGTCATACTGAACAAGAGCTGTACTAAATTTGCCAAACCACACACGTGGAGATTGCTTTAGGCCATACAGAGATCTACGCAAACGGCACACCTTCCCAAACCCCCGCTAAGCAACAAACCTCGATGGTTGCTCTATATATACCTCAACCAAGTCATCATGTAGAAAAACATTCGTCACATCCAACTAATGCAATGTCCATCTATGTGTAGCATCAAAACTATGTCATCTTTGCCACTAATGAAAAGGTATCAAAATAATCTACTCCATATGTCTATGCATATCCCTTCGCTACTAGCCTTACGTTCAATCTAGCCAATGAACCATCAGGATTCAATTTTATGGTGTAAACCTACTTGCACCCAATAGCTTGCTTCCCTTCTGGCAAAGAAACCAAGTCCCATGTATGATTAGCCTTTAGGGCCATCATCTCATCCTTCAGAGCCTTACACCATCCTAAATCTTCAAAAGCATCATGAAGAATACATGGCACAATAATAACATCAATTGAGACAATACAGGTATGAAGTTGAGCAAAAAGTCCTTTGCACGAGGACGTGTATAAAGGAAAATTTATGCAAGTTCGCGTACCTTTCCTTAGAGCAATCAATACATCCTCAGCTATAGTGTCTCAAGGTGGATCCATCGACAGATAGACTATCTCGATATGGGAAGTTTCCGCAGGCAAATCTACGCAAGTCCTTCTAGTGTACGTACAACCAAATCGAGTATTGAGGCATGCCTCAAAAGGAGATGCATTGACCGGTGTACTATGTATTTGATACATGAGAAAATCTTCTTCTAATATGATAGCTGATGGATGAGACTGTAGTACTAAAGGAAAAGGAACCGATTCACGAAATGCGACATCTGCCAAAATAATAAAGCAACCCAGGTCTGGAGAGTAGCATTGATACCTTTTCTAGACATGTGAATAACCTAGGAAGATACACTTAAGGGAACATGGGTCTAATATAGTACGACCCGGACAAGTGTCACGAACAAAACATGCACACCCAAACACCTTGAGGGAGATTGGAAATAAGGGATGATCAAGACACAATACTTGAAAAAGAACTTTCCCTTCAAGGATCGAGGACGATAAACGATTTATAAGATAGTATGCTATGAGGACAGCTTCACTCCATAACACCTTAGGGACCTTAATTTGAAACAAAAAAGCTCTAGCCATTTCCAACAAATGACAATTCTTCCTTTTAGCAACCTCATTTTGTTGTGGGGTATCTGTAGACAAGGACTGATAAAAAATACCTTTTGCATTTAGATATTGAATAAACTCAATAGAAAAATACTCTCCCCCATTATAACTTCATAAAATTTTTATAGACTTACTGAATTGATTCTCTATTTCTGCATGAAAGATAGTGAAGGCAGAGAATAATTCCAAGCGGCCAAACTTGTGAATAATCATCAACAAATGTCACAAAGTATCTATAACCAAATTTCGATATAATAGTGTAAGCACCTTTACGTCAAAATGAATCACAACAAAAAGAAACTTTTCTCTTTTATTAAATCAAGGTTGATAGGACACTCTATGTAGTTTCGCAGACTTGCATGATTCACAATCAAAACTAAAAGGCGATAAATGGGAATACATAGCTTGTAAAGTTGACATGGATGGTTGACCAAAACGACAATAAGACTCATAAGCTAATGACAATTTTCCTAAGTATGCCATTAATACAAACTATATCTTCTGTATGTCATCAAGCACATAAGACTTCCTTCGATCCTTCCCTTACCAATAGTTTGCTTCGTCAACAAATCCTAAAAAACACAATAAGTGGGAAAAGAGACAATACAATTCAAATTCCTTGTAATTTGACTAATTGAAAGTAAGTTAAAAGGAGAAGGGACATGCAGCACAGAATGTAAAGGTAACATAGATACAGGCTGAGCCTTACCACTTCTCACAATATCTATAAAGTTTCCATTAGCAACCAAAACAGACCGTTTCCCTTGTTAAGCATCTAACTTAAAACCAATTGGCAACAAATGGAAGAGACCAACCTGAATATAAGACTATAGGGAATTGGATATTTATTAGATATGGGATAATCCACTTTAACAGGCCCCCATCACTTGTAGGCAGAGATGGAATAAGCCTATCACGTGACAAATTTGAAAAAGGCAACAAAAGAAAATCCTAGCTCTGATACCATGTTAAGCATTCAACTTAAAACCAATTGGCAGTAAGTGAAGGGACCCACCTAAATATAAAAACTACAGGCAATTGGATATTTATTAGATGTGAGATAACCCATTTTAACATCCCATCATATAAGTATATGAATAAAGAGTGCTTATAATACCCATCATATGATCCGAAGCTCCTAAATCAATCACCAAGTCCTAGAGGGGGTAGCCAAACATGCAGTAGATTTATCTCATATAAAAATTGTTGTCAAAGAAGAGATAGAAGTTTGATTCCAAAGCATCTGAATAAGCCTATCATACTCATCCTGGGATAACTTCTCCTCTTGTTGCTGGGGCTGAAGCGCAACATCAGTCACATATGCTGCTTGTGGGTCAGAACTGCCCCGAAGATGCAGACAAACATTCCATAAATGTCCCTGCTGTCCACAATGATAGCAGGACCATGGATCTCCCCCACCACCGTCACGTCCTCTACCTCATCCACCACATCCTGCACGTGGTGTTCGCCTTTCACACTATGGGGCCACAAATACTCCTTATCTTCCCATGGAGAATCATGTTGGGTGACCCTACTCATGCACTTACAAGCATCTAGTAAAGAAAGTGGATCTCTGCCTGCTAACATTTGAGTACTAGCACTGACGTACTCCTTCCTCAATCCTACGAAAAAAACACTACAACCAGAGTCTCTCATTGCTCATGATTTGTCTTCAAATCAGTAGACAAGGGCATGAGTTCACTAAACTCGTCATACCTCTTTGAATGCAACAAAATATTCCCTCAAACTCTTATCGAACTGCTCCATTCTAGTCCATGCTCTAGTAACACCTAAGATCTTCTGCCAATTCTTAGAATTTGCATAAACAATTTTTAAAGCATCCTAAAATTCCTTACTTGTGAGGTATTGATTGAACATCACCTTCACTCATCATTCCATCAAGTTGAACAATTGTCCAAGTACTCAATTCTCTTCTTGCTCCCACTTGCATACTCCGAGCTTTCCTTTGCTGACGGTTCACTTGTCAGAAACCGAGCCTTTCCAAGACATCGCAACGTCACCAACATAATCTTGCTCCATGAAAAGTACTTGGAGCCATCAGGTTTCTCATCCAACAACCGTGAGCCTGTGATAATCTCCTAAGTTATTACATTCGATGCATTTGTCTCTTCCTTAGCCATGGCCATAGAACCTTCCTCTTCAAGAACACAACTGATAATCCTTCAATCGGGGAGCACAACCCCTAATCAACAACTTGGAACTCTACCTCTACTTCTATAGCCATGTTCTACACCAAGAAGATCCTGCCTCCCTTAATCTATCATTCACGAAAAGGTCACAACTCCTTGTCGCCTTTGAGAATAAGGAGGTGGCCCCCTTTCAACTAATGAGGGACTACTGAAGAGGAAGGAAAGGCTTTAAATACGGAGCTTTAGGGCTGCGAGATCAAAGTTTGTAGTAACAAAGGCTTGGGGCATGACGTAAGGGCTATCGCAGAGGGATTTGGGGGGCGGCAGCGACTAGGGTTGCGCTACTGGCCTAATACCATGTTAAAATTAAGACTTTAGAGAACAACTTGCTAATCCCTTGAATTAGCCTTTCATTATATAGAAAAAACTAAGGAAAGAGAATCAATTACAAATTACACATTAATGCTCCCAATTAATCCCTCCTAAAGTGTCTCCCACGAAATATTCCCATAATATTCCAACTCACTCACATACTCTAACAGTTTCAAATTAAAGAACCATTAAAAGTCAGAAAACTCTCCGCTGAAAGAAAACAGAATATCTATTAGAAGGTAATTTGCAATTCGTAGATAATATTGGAAGCTTCTGATAGAGCATAACAGAAGCAGAACAACTAGGAAAGTTAGGATTAACTTGAGTTATTGAGTTGGTTTACTTATTTGTTAAGTGAAATAATTAGAACTCAATTTGGTTTGGCGCTCTTAGGTGCATCCAGTAAACTTGAACATAAGTTGGCAATTAAAGTGTTTAGTAATGACAGCTTTAAAAGTCCTATAAATAAGTGTCTAACGTATCATGTTATTCTGGAATGAAATATTTCCCCTGCAACCCAAAAAATTTTGGTATCAGAGAAGGGTTGCAGGAAAACAATGGTCGTTACTCAAGGTAACATCAGAGAGAATGTGCTCCAAGTTGTGAACAGGATTGATGGAGAAAGCTCCCAAAGAAAGCAGAAGAATAACAAGCAACTAGAAGTAGCAACAACATGAAAAAGAGAGCTAGAGCAAAACCAGGAAAGTATTGCAGAAAAGAAAGACACAAAGCAGACCATGAAACCAGAGAAAGCTTCTGGACTTCAAGAGACAGAAGACTTGACAGAAATAAAAATTTTCAACATAAAGGAAAAGATGAACAAATGGAAGAGAAATGTCCACCATGAGGGATTTGCAACAGAACCAAATCACGAAGAGAAATATTACTGGCATAGTGGAAAACCACAAGGCTACAAATGTAAGAGATTTGGAACTTGCAAAGGGTTTGTCAGTTTAATGAATGTTATCATGCAAATATTGCAGAAGAAAAAGAAAGCAGTGAATTCTTATCTTGAAGACTGGAGAGACATGCTCTATAACACTAATGAAAAAATGAGTTGCAAATGAAGATTTTGGACAGAAAATGGTTCAAAGATGCAAGGAAAGTTTAGAGAGAAGTTGCTCCATCAATACAAGATGTGCAAAGAACAAGCATAGCTGGTAAGAAATGCACCGAGAAAGGAAGACATGAAGAAGATTATTTTTGTGAGAAGTGCACCAAAAAGATTCTAATCAGCAAAAGGATTATTTGGTGGGATGTACACCAAAAAGAAAAAAAAATCATGCAGGTAATCTATGGTGAGATGTGCACCGAAAAAACAAAGAAGTCAAGAAGATTTCAATATCCCATCAGTGCACCAATGAAGAAAGAAAGATCAAGGAGAGAAGTCTTCCAAGAAGAAAAAAAATAAAGTAAGAAATACGAAAGAATTGATGCAGACAGAAATAGCAAATTAGGAGAGTGTGTTAGAAGATAATTTGCAATTCATGGAAAATATTAGAAGCTTTTGACGGAGCATAACAGAAGCAGAGCAACAAGGAAAGTTAGGATTAGCTTGACTTATCGAATTGGTTTACTTGTTTGTTAAATTAAAGAATTAGAAGTGAACTTGGTTTTGTACTCTTAGGCATATCCAGAAAACTTGAACAAAGCTGGCAATTAAAGTGTATGGAAATGACAGTTTAAAAGTCCTATAAATAAGTGTCTCATGTATTTTGGTTATTCTGGAATGAAACATTTCTCCTGCATCCCAACAATATCAACTTGGTGAATAACAAATGGAGCTCTAACATTAACTTCCCAATAAAATGCTTAATGAACCAAAATTGAAAGTATGTATAGCACAAACACTTCATTGACAAGTTGAAATGAAGGAAAAAGTCCACAAAAACAAAAGAAAAAAAAAAAAAAAAAAGCTCAACCAGATTCTTTTATAAATAATGATTCAAAGCATATTCTCATTTTAATCTCTCTCACTCACTCCATTTTTTAGGCAATCAAACATTTTTCATGAACCAAATCCAGATTTCAAGTGAAAAACAGAGAAAGACTGATTAATTAATTGGTGAAACCAAGCAGGCCTACCCTAAATGACCGAATCCATCAAATGAAGCAAGGTTGCTAATATTTTCATTCACTCCATGCTCTTGGAAACCAAAAACATTTCATAAACTTGATTCAAGGAACATCTAATTCTTATAAAAAAAAATGTTAGATTGATGAACTAAGCCCTACCCATCTTATGATTAACTCTGCTTTAGAATATGAGTCTAATCAGATTTAATTTATAACTTTCTGAACTTGAATTTTTTTATTTTCTATTTTCTTGGAAACTAACGATATATGATGAATTGAAACAAAGTTCAATATTTCTGATTCATCTGTTTGGGACACAAAAATTTCAAACTTACTTTCCATTTTCATTCCTTTTCTTACATTTCCTAGAAGGCTACACAAAGTGGAATGTTGCAATAAAGCAATCCAACACCAATCACAATACTAGAAAGATTGATGGATTCATTGATGAAGGCAAACCCAGAAAATATTAAGCTTAAATCAGTTCAACCCACCTCTCAAATAACTGAAAAGATCAATAATTGGAAAACACAAAAACCAAAAGTAGATTTGACCCCAAAAAATACCCGAACTTCAAGTAAGCTGAATTTGCAAGATTGAAAAAAGTTTTTCCGATCTTTTATCCTACAATACTTTCAGGAGAAACCAACAAAATCAAACAAAATTATAATTACCTCTGAGGTACTCCAGTAAAGTCAAGTGAGCTAAACCATCAGGCAACACTTTGCGGACTCCATTAACGTATAAAATAGCCTCCTTGGATTCCTCCACAGTCTCCTCCATTTCTTTTTCGTTCTTCAAAGACCCCATTTGATAAGGATTGTTAGCTTTGATTCTCCAAAGAAAACCCAGAAATAATATTAACCCAAGATCGAAAATAAAACTTGAAAAAAAAAAATCAAATATTATTCGCCTTCAATTCTTTTGAAAGATTAAGGGTCAACACATAAAACTTTTTCAGACAGAATCGTGTTTCTATTAGATTCAAAAACCCAAAATTTTCGTACTTCTAGTACATCTTATGACGTCAACTGAAGACTTAAAAGATTATATATGTGAATCTTATCTTTACGCAATTGAAAATTTAAATTTTATTCGAACAAAAAAATAAATAAGTATCACATTATAAATATAGATAGAGATAAAAATGAAAATGATTTTAAATTTTTATTAAATATAAAAATAATAAAAATAAAGATTTATAATATAATATATGTTTTGTATCTATATTTTATATATATTTATATATATATTTAATATATAAATTTTTATTAAATAATATAAATTATTATTTTAAATTAATTAAAATTAACATATTTTTATTAAAATATATTTTAATATTATTATAAAAAAATTATTTAAATATATAAATTAAAAATTAAAAATTAAAAAAATTAATTGTTAGTTTTTTGTTAAAAGTTATAGATATAAAAATTATTTATATTCATTAAATATTTATAAAAATAAAAATAAATTTAAATTTAAAATATTCATTAATTATTAATAAAAAATATATAATTTAAAATTTTAAAAATAAAAATAAATAATATTTTATCTTATTCATACTTTATGCATTGACATCACTATAATGAGTTTTGTAATAACGTCATCACATGCGAAAGAACAGCTGAATGCAACAAATGAATACTTGGAAGATTCTCCATAAACTAATTAGTTGTGCAGTGACATTATCACGTGCGAGAGTAAAGCCGAATCGGCAAGGCGACTGGGGAAGTAAATACCACTTGATTAGGATAATTATTTTAAGCAGCATTGGCAGTGGGCGGAATTATTATTATTATTATTATTATTATTATTATTATTATAACAATATAAATAGATATATTAGAAAGAGAATAAATGAATAAAAACGTTTGATGAATTATTTGTAAATATATTTAATTTTTATTTATTTTTATTTATATTTATTTATTTATTAAATTTAATAAATAACTTTAAATAATGTTTATAAAAATTTATTTAATTCATTTATATTTATGAATAAATACATATAAAATTTATTTTAAATTCATTTATTTAAAATTTAGTTATTGTTGGTTTATTATTTAGTAATAATAATAATAAAATTATATTTTTATCATATATTTTAATTTTATTTTAGGGTTTATTTATGTATGTTTAGAGTTTGTTTGTTTAAATTTATTTTATTATAGTTTGTTTATTATTTATAAAGATATCCATTAATAAACATATTCATTTAATATTCATGAACAAGTTTATTTTACTTAATTGAGCCAAATAAATCACACACAAATATCCTACCATTTAAATGAACCACGCTCAAATGAATAGAATAATTTTTTTTACCAACCACAATCGAGTTTGAATAACTCTAATATTAGTTGAAAGACTTGAATTAAATTAAAAAAGGGTGAATTGGTTAATAATAAATTTTTTTGTAAATTCAATATCCAATAACCACAAAGATCACAAATCAGTTTTTCTAAACAAATAAACACAATAAATATGAGTACTAATAATCTTAAAAGTAATAGATTAAGATTGAGAATTAAATACCGAAATTTATAAAAGTTTGACTCTTCATTTAGGTAACTATATTCTCTCCTTGAGTCTCACTTGTCAAAGAGTTTAATTCACTATGTGTTGAAAGTTATAACCTAGCTCTTTAAAGTTCTATACAATTAACAACATAATCTCTTAAGGGTTATTATATCCCTTAAGCTCACAATCTCACAATATAAATTTTTAAAGTGTTTTGCAAACTCCAATAACCTCTCTAAGGTTGAGTGTTTACTAATTTTAAGTATAAATCAAGATTGAGAATAATATCAAGAGAAAATCAGATACAACAAGACTTTTTACGCTTTTCTCACATTAAAATTCTCTTTAATGCTTAGAGAAGATAGTAGATAGATGCAATAAGTTTTCTTGGCTCTTAGTTGCTTCAAATATGGTGGGAAACCTTTATTTATATGTTAAGAATGGAAGATAACCGTTGGTTGCATTTTATTGTTTGAAGTCTCTGTAAAATTTCAAACAAAAATAGTTGTTGCAAGCTTTTTGGGCATGAGGGAATCGATTTCCTTTGAGGGGGGATCGATTGGATCAGTTAAAAATAAAATAATTTTATGCATAAAAATGCACAACCAATCAATTCATATCAAGAACCAATCGATCCCTAGTCTAAAAGATTGATCCATTCTCAAAGTCTAGAGCAAAGTTTTCATTCTGTGTAAAAAATTAATCGATCATTTCATGAGGGGATCAATCATGTCTTTAAAATCTTTGAACCAATCGATCCATACAAGGAGGGGATCGATTAGTTTTCATGAAATCTACATAAAAAGCTTTCTAGACAAAAATCAATTGATCCCCTTAAGGGAGATTGATCCATTTTTGTTAAATTATCCAATTCTATATTTAAACCATGTTAGATGAATTTTAACAAATTTCTAATTGGATTAAAAGCTATAAAAGTATTCAAATTAAGTTCAAATCATTTTAATTTAAGTTTAGCAAATTTTTGTTTTGTCATTTCAAAATGTTTTATTAATTCAAGGCTAACAATCTCCTCATTTTTTATATGATAAAATCAATAGTAAAAAAAATTTTACTTTAAAAACATTTTCCTTTTTTAAGAAAGCTCTCATTGAATTTAAGCAAGATCAACAAAATTAAATGGCCAATTTTTCATTATGAACATATAAAAAATATAAGGTAGAAGTCTCCCAAGCAATTAAAAATTTATCAACGAATAACATAATAATTTAGCAATAAACTATTGGTAGATCGGAGGTTGGCCACATCCATCAACTCTATATGCTCGAACGTTACGGGTGCTTGCGTATGCTAAATGCACTATAAGGTTAGGGTATGCGTCTTCTAACAGCAATTGCTTTTGGGAGCATTAGTAGCATATGAGGTCCTAAAAAGTGGTATTAGAGCCAAGGTCATGGGTTCAAGTCCCAGTAGTATTACTAGGGAAAGATTATTGGCAGATTGGAGGTTGGCTATATCCATCAACTCCATGTGCTTGAATGTCATTGGCGTTTGTGTGTGCTGAATGTACTATAAGACTAAGGTATGTGCTTTTCTAATAGCCAATACTATAGCCAATGTAAGATCAATTTGCTTAATCAATTCAAGGTAATAATACGATAATAAACACATAGCCAATATCATTGAAACTCAATACTATAGCTCAACATAGTATCATAATATCAAGAATGACAATGACCACAATGGCATTACTACAGTAACACAATTAAGTACAATAAACTTAAAGTTCATGCTATTAAAGTTTAGGCCATAATATGTAAAGTACCAAAGTTGATACTACAATTAAAATGTCTTGAAGTAAGTTAAAAATTTAAAAACACAAAAGAAAGACATGTATTTAGGCCTGGCTCTAAAGATAGGTCAAGGTAAAGGAAGATAAGGAAGAAAATAATGAAAACACTACTCAATTTGCTTTTATGCAGTCTGGATATATCTAATATCAATCCTAATTTGTTGAACTTATGAAACCATCTCATTTTGGGTTAATTTTATATTTTTCAATCTAGAGTTCATATCCCCAACCAATGAGTATAAACTATTCATCTAAGTCATAAGAATTTGCAAAACTCTTTCAGTATCAAATAATGGACTAGAAGAATCTTCTTACGGAATATCTTATGAAACTTCTTGTGGAATATCTTGAATCTCATACTCTTTTTCAAGTTCAATTCCAAGTTCACTTTTCTTAATCCATACTCTATCAATATTTTAAGTGTATCATATACTATGAAGTGTATGAACTCCAATAATACTAGCAAGATGAAATACAATATCTCTATTACTTCTAATATTAATACCCATCCTCCTAAGTAATTGCTAATGGTTATCCCATAAACCAAGATATAGTCCCTGTTTTGAACAACCTTCATCATATCATTAAAAATGTAGTGCACAAGATTAAGTTTCTCTTTATGTTTGATTTTATACATCTAGCAATAATCTTGTTTTGTAATAGTAGAGTATTAAGTTTCAAATGGTGCTAATACATGTGTGACTATAAGATGAAATAATCTATCATGCATATTTAACCTAGAAACCTGAGTTGGAGCAACCCTCAAATCATCATTTTTAAAAATATATTGAGCTAATCCAAGCATATTACATTTAGTGTTTATATCTCCCATTATCTTCTAACATGAAAGTTTTAGCCAACAAGTTCTTGTCCACAACTATTTCTTTACCCATCACAAATTTTTTAAATTTATCAGTATAATACCTATTCCCATGTCCATCAACTTCAATATAGTTTGTATTATTATAAAATATCCTTACAAGATTCTTAAAGACAACGCCATCCAAACTAAAATAGTTCATCCACCCAAAATTCTCAAAAGCATATGAATATGAAAATCCAATAGATTGAAGAAAATTAAAATTATTTATCTTTCCTTGCTTGATTTCTCTATAAGCAAAATAAGTCTCATATCTTTCTTTTGCTGTAGGATTTTTAAAAATTTGGTTGAAAAAAGGCTTAATTGAAGAACTAGAGGCTTCCCTTGATGGATTTCTCCTTATGGCAAGAGGAGGTCTTATTTTAGGTGCCATGGAAACAATGAAATAGTGAAAATAGGTAAGCTTATGTGAAATTGATGAAAAATTTTTGTGAATGTAGGTGATAAGTAGTAGAATATATTAGTGAGAGACAAGAAAATTAAGTGAATGAAGTAGTTTCAATGGAAACATAAAATGGGATCAAATTCTTAGAGTGCGAAGCATGGGTGAAGATTTTAATGTAATTTGAAA